TCTACGAAATTTTACCAACCAGTTCATATTTCGAAAATCAGATTCAGAACTCTTGTGAAAAATGAGTTGTGTCGTACGATTATCGATATTATCGTCCCATTTTCCATCAAATTCGATAATGAAATCGAGACGACGATAAAATTGACCAAAATCACATTTATTATTATCCTCTCCAATGCATTGACCAAAATTATACGCTTCTTCAGACGGTTTTGTACTGGTCATAAATACATATTTTGCTTTAAATGACGAACTAAATGTTCTATATTTAATTTCTACAGAACACGTAGTATCATTTAACACATTCACCATATTTGACCAATCAATTTTATAAAATTCGTCAAAAAAAACTATCTCTTGTCTATCGTACCCATTTCAATAATTTGATCAGCTACGTTGTTTCTTGTGTTTTTCAAAATATTTGCTATTGAATAATTCGCTAATAAGTCCAGTCTTTCCAGAGCCACCAGAACTATAAATATAAAAAACAACTAGACGCCAACAACGTTCAATAGAATCTTTCTTTTTTTGAAGTAGCTTATCTCGCACATCACAAATAATAGCGATATTCTTTGGATTTTGAGTAATCCATTGTGGATTTTTCTCTGTATACTTAACAATTGCTTCTTTTTTGATATTTTTTTTACAAGAATATCATCCATACATTCTTGCGCATCTTTCAATAGTTGATCTTGAGATTGATTCTTTTCCCTTTTATTTTGAACCTTTTTATTTTCTTAAATTGAATATTCATATAGCCCCGAATTTTCATTATATCTAGCCAATGTACGTTGAGAACAACATTCTAAAGTACACCATTTACATTCTGAAAAATCATTTAAATCCTCATAGCCACATTGACAATTTGTTAATCGTTTTTTATTAGAAGTTGAGATTGTATTTTTAATGAATTCGTATTCAGAAAAACGTTCTATGTTATGTTCAACTTCTTTTTGATTATGAATAGAACATTTATTATAAGTTTTTTTACAGTAGCGTATAGAGTTAGGCTCACTTCCAACAGGTTCAAAATGCACTTTGTCAATCTTTAAAAAACTCTTTATACCAGATATTTTTTTTTTTTTTTTTATCGATTGACAGTTTATAATGATCAAATCTAGCTTTTTTCTTTAAATGTAAAAATCTTTGTATATGACAATCTCGCTCTTGAAAAACATTATAATTTCGTTCATATTAATAAACAATATATGTAAAAGGACAAGTTGTTTCATCTTCAAAATATGTTTGAATTAATTAATCAAAATCTTGACAATTAAAATCGTAAGTGACAAAATTAACATAAATCTGAGAAGTGGTTGAAAAAGATAAAAAAGACATTTTTAAGATTAAAGAGAGAACTTAGATGAAAAAGACATTTTAAAATTAAAGAGAGAACTTGAAACGTTATTTATAATATTTTTCAAGAAAAATATACACTTTTTCACATTTTTTCAACAAATTTCTTCGTTTTTTTTCTTTCAAAATTCATAAAATTTTTTCACAATTTTAATTATTAATTTTCTAAATTTGGATTTTACGAATATAGAAGTTCATTGAGACAATGAACTTCTTAATTCGTATTTTACGAATATGGAAATCAAAGACTCATTGTCATTCCAAATTCGTAAAATCCGAATTTGGAACTAATTAGTAATTCAATGAACTTCTTAATTTGTATTTTACGAATTTGGAAAATCACATGATATTTAATGTATAAATAATAAATAAATTTCTTTAGAGATAAAATTTGTTCTATATGTTTTTTACTCAACACCCCAGTTTCAAAGTTAAATATCACGAGAGTTTGTTAGAAAAAGGTAGAAAGTCATTTTAAGAAACTAACATTTTTTTGAGCCAAAGAACAAGTTTTGTTAGTGACGAAAAGATAATCATCATAGTAAATTTTGGGGGAAATCGTGTTGATGGCAATTTTTCTCGTGATGTAATAATTTTTGTGTTTGTGTAACCATAAATGTCAAATATCTTAAATTTTTATTAGAAAAACATGTAAAATCGTCTTATAAAACTAGTGTTTTTTTGTCCATTCTACAACTTTTGTTAATAATATAAAGTCAATTGTCTTAATAAAATTTCACGTAAAATGCATTTTTTGGTCTAACGGCAATTTTCGGAAAAAACTAATACAATTGTTAAAACTCCAAGAGACTTAAAATGCTAAACTCCGGCTGTTCTCCTTAATTAAATTTGGAGAACAGAGTGTTGATTGGCTAGATTGTTTGGAGATTGTTCAGAAAATGTTAGGAATTTGTCTGTTCTCGAGAATTGTTCTCTGCCGATTCTTGACCACTCACATGAGTGGTCACTATATCAATAAATGCTTTTTTTGACAGCTACTAATTAAATATACAATAAATTCTGTACTACACTTAATAACCATCAAAGTAATAGTCCCACCGGAGTTTTAAAACTGTTCTGTTCTCCAAATTCTTAGAATAAGTTTTTAGTGTTATAGAAGTAATTATTTTTAGAATATAGTTGTTCTCTGTTCATAGACTTAAGGTAATAGTATTAAAGTAAAAATAAATGAATATATCATATGACATAATGCTGTATTATATAATGCAAGGCCAAAAAAACTTGCATTCACACATCTCTAGGAGGACCTGACAAAAACCCTCGATACTTCAAAAATATTTAATCATACTATAAACTATTCAGAAAATTCGACTTAGACTACTTAACTGTATGTATACATGCTTCAGAACAGTTTAAATACAACACAGTAGAAAGGAGTATAGCTACACTTTCTGGCAAACTAGCTAGAATAGTTTTACCAATAGATCATTTTGGAAAGCATAGAGTAATATTATTGACACAGAGTTGGCAACCCAAAATTTTCGCTATGCTGACACAATATTATGTAATCTGTGGTATCGTGATCCCATCTTTAGGAAGTATATTAAAGCAACATATGTTGATGAAGATACTAACCTATTTATAAACTTTGAATTTACTGGTGAAGAGTAAGAAGGGGAAGAAATACGGAACAGAAAAAAAGATCCCAAAACATCCTTAGATAACTCTGTACCATGATTATAAATAGAGAAACATTGCAAATTGTATCAATACTTTTTTAATATCAAACGATGTACTAACCAAAATTGCTGTAAACCAATTAGAGCACAAAAAGCTATGGATTTTTTTTAGCTTTTTGATAGTTTTCTTTCTCCTATCACCAAGACCTGGAATGGCCACTATATTAACCCATACATATCCTTCAATATTCTGATAAATTTAAAATTCTAGACTATGATATTCACTGTCTATCTATAAGCCAAACAACTTATCAACAACTTTGTTGTTCAATTTGTCATAAATGCTTCTCGACTCAGGTATACTTAACGAAGTATAAACACTTACTGCAACTATCTTCTTGTGGAAGGCCTAGAAAAAATCAACCTGAAAATTCAGAGTTGGTTGTAAAATTTGTTATGATAACAAATTCTGCAATAATGGAAAACTTTAGTATATTACTTTTACAACAAAACAGGCAAATTCTTTCTTTTAGTGATGATAATGTTAGAGAATATGTCTCAGATATCAAATAAAAAACAAGAAATTGTAAAATAAATTAAAGTAGATTTACATAATATATTTTTTACATATTAATACTTTACTTTACTTGGAATAGATACTTAAATCACCTATAAAATACCAGTATTAGGTTGATATTGTTAGCTTTTAGAATTAGCACTAAATTAATCAGTTATAATTTTCTATTTCATAAAATAGAACCTACTTTTGTAAGTGTGTATTGTATACAGATATGTACAATAATTAGTGTTATTTTTTTGTTTAGTTAGAAATTTGAAAACTAGTTGTAAATTAATTTTGTTAATTCATGATTTATATAGCGCAATGATCTGAAATCGAGGTAATAAAAATTTCATTGTTAGAGAATTAAAAAAGTGATGCAAAGAGATCAGTTTTAAAAATATAAACTATATAAAACACTGTTTTTTTCTTTAGCAATGCTCAAATTATAGAAACTATATAAATTCGACAGTTAATTGTATAAATAATTTCTTGGTATGCTTTAAATTGAACAGATTTTGTAAGCTAATAGTGTTTTCTAAGCTTATTCTTTTATGCCTTGTCTATACTAAGGTTATAAGTTTTCTTAATAAGTATATAGCAACAGCTTCAAATTTAAATCTTAAGGTGATACAATAGAGATGGTATGATTTTTTTATTACTTTTAGTATACTTCATGATGATTGGTCAATACCACTATTATAGTTTGTAGTACATAAGACTTTACCAACCTATTCTCCTCTCAAAAATATTAAGTAATATTTGTCAGCGCCCTTAGTATACATTGCTAATATCATTAGTCAGTATTTTATCAATTTTAGTATATGTGTTTTTCTTTATTGGCTTTGTGGTTTGGTGTTGTGTTTTTTTTTATTTCATTACTCTTGGTTCTAACTTTCATGTGTTTTTCTGTTTTTATTTCTCAGATTAATTCTAGTGAATTGTACTATTTAAAGTATATAGTTGGTGTCTTTAGTTGGTCTACTTTAGTATACATTTTATTGCTAGTGTTTTTAATTTAGTATTTTTTTCATTTCATTTATTCTTGGTATAGTACTAACTTTTATATTTTTTTCTTTTTAGATTTTTTAAGTAGCTGTTCAATGCTTTTCGTTATTAATATATATCACTAGTATCATTAGTCAGTATTTTATCAATTTTAGTATGTCTTTTATTGTAAACACT